GTGTGTGTGTGTGTGTTGTATATATATATATGTATATGTAATATATATCTATATTATCTATATATATTTATATAATATATGTATATATATATATCTATATATATATATATATATATCTATATATTTATATAATATGTATATATTCTATATCTATGTATATATATATGTTTATATATATATATCTATATCTATCTATCTATCTATATATATATATATTATATGTATATATTATATCTATAATCTATATTTAATCATCCATATATATATTTATGTAATATATATATCTAAATCTATCCATATATCTATATCTTATATATAAAATATATTATATATATATATATATATATATAAATCTATCCATATATCTATATCTTATATAACATATATATATATATATATGTACTATACATATATATATATATATATATATATATATATTATATATATATATATATATACATATATAGATAGATAGATAGATATACGTATATATATACATACATATAATATATATAGATATATATACATATATATAGATATGTATACATATATATATATCATATATATCTATCTATTTATCTATATATGTATATATATATCTATATCTATACATTTATATCTATATCTATATATATTTATATGTATATCTATATCTATCTCTATATATATAGATAGATAGATATGGTATGTATATATATTGTATATAATATAATATATAATATATATATATATATATATATATATATATGTATATATATATATATATATATATATATATATATATATATTTATATATATTATTTATTCCTATATGCATTAGGTAATTTGTCAGAATAGTCAAGGCTAATGGATCGAGAAGTTTTTTACTGATTTATTTCTCTAACTCTACTTTCTAAATATTTAGAAATTTTTTTGCAGAATTCCTTAAAACCCATAAATTTATGGCCCTGATACAAGTTGATAAAGGTTCCATCGGAAATTACTCTGAGAAATATAGATAATATTCACAGGATTTACAATGGGGTTCTGCCCCATGTGACCCTACTATGGGTAGCTACTGCTCCACATCCCCTGCCAATGAAAACAAAGAATCCTCCACGCATTCACTGCAGGAGATTGTTGTACAGACTCGCCACTAAGTGTATCCACTTGTTGATTATACGCTTTCTTCTGCTACATGGAGGATGTTATTTATATTACTGCATATCTTCCTTGTCCTTCCATTCATTGATTTCCATTCTTAGAAATATGTTCTAGTTCAGTTATATAAATAAATGAAAGATAGAAAATTAAAAGGTATTCTGTTTATGTCAGATATTGTCCATCTATCATATTACATGTTTATTGTTGACTCTTTTGTTAAAGTTTATATCAGTGGCACTTGTTTGAACAGGTGGTAAGGATGGGTCGTGGGGACAACCTGACCATCCTTTACCCTCCTGGGTGCCGGGAAGTCATAGAAGATCTTGGACCAGATGAGATGATACGGCGCTTGAAGACACTTGCCCACACCTTGCAGTCTATGGGTCAGGATGATGGAGCGTACCAGGTAAGGAGGGGGTTTACAGTGGGAGATTGTAGGTAATTGGTGGTTTATGTTCACTTTTCTTGTAGGAATAGTTGTACAAAGAGTTTTGTGTAGCTGGTTGTTTGTTTTGATTTTTCTTTACTCATCTTTGTCTTCTTTTTTCAGCTTTTATTTTTATGCTTGATTTTTTTGCAATCACTTTTACATTTTTGTTGTTTTAGTTTTATTTACATACTTTCCTTTTTTTTACTCTTTGTTAGATATTCCCCTTTGTTTCTGTCATAGTGGTTAGTTTCACTACTTACCTTTTCTGATTGTAATATCTATTTTGCAATTGTGATCTTCAGTTACTTTTGTTGTCTTTGTTCATTTTTTCTTTTGCACCCAGTTCTGATTTTTTTACAGTTGCTCTTTTACTTTTATCTCTCCACTTTTTTTTTTTTTTTTCTCAATTTCACTCCTCTCACATTTCTTCTACTTTTCCTAGTTACTTCATTTTTTTTTCTGCACCTTCTGTTTTTTTAACATTCTAGTCTATAAAACACATATATAAAACACCATTTGATGATAGTACATGATAAAATCTCATTCTTTATTCTAAATAGAAAGAAATAAGTCATGGCATTATCATGATAAGAATTCTGGCAATCAACCTTTACGATATATTTAACTGATTTACAATGAGTAATATTCAAATAAAGTTTAGCAGTGTCTCTGTGCATTACCGCATACTGCTTTGTACACGGGCTATTTTCTAGCTTACAGTTGGGTTCATAAGGTGTCAACCCAGCTACAGTGACACAAGATCTTGAATTGAAGAGAATGAATTTTTGAATAGATTTTTGCTTTAACACGATAGAATTCATCTGGCATGAGTGGGTCAAGGGGACTGTCCCATTTTGAGGGTCAGATTTGAATTAAGGGTAATTTCATATTCGTATTCACATGGAAAAATTACTCTCATGAAGATTATCTCCCAATTCCATATTCTTCTTGGTCAGTTTTGGATATTTTGCTGATGAACATGATGGTTGTCATATGGCATTTTGAGGTATGAGATATATGATAGATATTAGCTAGAATGTGACCAGATTTGGTTTAGAAACCTGATATAAACAAATTTAAATGAACTGTACAATGTGTAATGGAAATTGCACAATCTATGTTGGAAGTAGCAAAACACCTCTCAGAAAGTAAGTTATCTTTTAGTTGTATTCCTAAGGTTCCTAAGTTCTAGATGATTTCAAAACTGCATAAACATACCCCCCCCCCCTATTGCTATGAGCTATGACACTTTTTCTATAAACCTATTAACCCATTCACGCTGGGGTATTTTGAAGCCAAAAATGAAATATTCCGGGCAGCTACAAAATCGGCGGGCGAGTTTCCCTGGAGTCTGTCCGTCCGCCGGCTGTGGCCCGCTGCTGCGTCGGAGCGCAGCCCCAATACAGTGTCACACTGGCAGGATGCCCGACAATGTTTATTTTTTTCGGGTGTCTCATATATGGGACACCCGTCGCTAATGGTTTAAACTACATGCCGCTGGGAATGGCGTATGCATACATGCCATGCCCACTGTGTTTAATTTAGTAATTGTTTTTACATATAGATGGCTCCACAAGTACTTGGTAACCAATGAGCCAATTACAAGAAGTACCTGTTTCACCTGTTTACCCTTTTCCTTGATTTTGTTATATTTTCTAGTAATTAACACTGCTGTTTGTAATGTCAATTGCAATATAGTAATTACAATGTTTGCAAAAAAAAAAAAAAACACTATCAACAGCAATAGTATTAGTAAAAAAAAACTTTTCCCCTAAATCAAAGAAAGGTGAGGTCACAAGATCTACTAATTGACTCCTTTGTGGCTAAGCACTGACAGAGCCATCTATGTGCAGAGACATTTAACAAGACAATACTAAAGTGAATGCAACATTTGTCCGGGGGTATTGGGTTAATCCGGATGCTTCACTGCCATCTCTATATAGTCCATAACACAGTGGAGTAATAATAACAACATGTAAAATTTTGATATTTGTGTCATTTATAAGATTTTTCGTAATATTCAGTTCTCTGTAATACAGCCTGATTCGTGAAATACATGGAAATGTTCTTCTCTCGAGAGCTGGTGCTTACCCAGTCATAGCCCATGGATTGTACATTCCACACTTGTTTACCTATGGAAATAATGCAAAGGCCCCTTCTTAAACCCAAATGAGTCTAATTGCTCTCCAAGAGCTTGATGCACTCATGGCAAATAATTCCTGTCACCCTGACCTTTAGCTGAAATGTTCATGAAGGCAAATTTGTGACGCCCCAACTCACACCCAAATTTTCTCATGGGGGCATGTACACCTCATCCACCCCTCAAACCAATTTATGTGGATCATAGGGGTTAATATTTAGAGGTTGAACTTGATCTTGAAATTTATTTATCTTGCAATTGCAGTTAAACATATTTTCTTTTCTTTTCCTTTGCAGGAGTATGTTCCACTTGCTATGCACATTGCAGATGATTTCTTCTTGTCATATCCAAGTCGTGATGTCCAGCTGCTCATAGCATGCTGTATTGCAGACGTTTTAAGAGTGTATGCACCAGAAGCACCCTATAAGGACCCTGGTCAAGTAAAGGTGAGCCAGTTTTCTGGAAGGTATCAAATGAAATTGTATATGATTATTATTATTATTATATATATATATATATATATATATATATATATATATATATATATATTTATGTTTTTTTTGGGGGGAGGGGGTGGGACGGGTGGGGGGTAGGTGTTGGCAGATGCCATCATGTATATGTATTTTTTTCTTTTGTCTTATTCTGAAAAAAATACTCATACTTGATAAAAACAATAGCTGAGGTAAATAAACAAGTAACAAGGTAAGTAATTTGCTTTATAGTTATTTACTTTTACCTTTAGAATTTAGTTACCTTGACCATTTTGCCTGTCTGTGAACCAAAACCTGTTTTGTTAACCAAGATAACTGTTTATTTGATTGTCATCTTTGTGATGAAATAGTAGTAATTTAGAATATCTTGTCAGACCCTCTTCATGTTCCTGATCAAACAACTGGGAGGATTGAAAGACCCAAAGGACCCTGCCTTTAAGCGCTACTTTTACCTTCTTGAAAACTTAGCATATGTTAAATCATTCAACATGTGCTTTGAGCTGGAAGATTGCCAAGAAATCTTCTGCAAACTTTTCAAACTTATGTTCAATATAGTCAAGTAAGTATTGTGGTTGGCATATTTGTTTTTGTATCCTATGATTTTTTAAACTGAATTTTGAATTCACAGATATGGTCTTACTTTTTCTTTTTATTTATGCTTACAAAAAATTCTTTTGACAGTGATGAACACAGTGGAAAAGTTAAGTCTTTTATGCTAGACGTCCTGTGTCCGCTTATCAATGAAAGCGATGTTGTCTCCAATGATTTGCTGGATATTATTTTATCAAATGTCTTAGAGCCAGCTAAATCACAAAGGAAGAACGCTTATCAGTTGGCCAAAGACCTGGTGGTTAAGTGTTCTGACACACTTGAGCCCTACATTCAAGCTGTAAGTAGTTTTTTCCTTTTTTTGTGATATATAGATATTTGGAAGTAAGTTGTAATTGATTCTATATGTTGTTATGCATATGCTGCTATCATTTATTAACTGTGAGAAACTTTTGCAGTTCTTCAACCATGTGCTCATATTAGGTCGGGAAGAGAAGACTTTGACCATCTCTCAGAAAGTTTATGATCTCATATATGAACTGAATCACATTTGCCCATCAGTGCTACTTGCAGTTTTGCCACAGGTGTGTATATCCTCTTTATGGTTTAGGAATGTGATGTTAGTTTTATAAATATTTCATTTTGCTATTTCAGAGAATTCTGTGTATTCATACTTTATGAAGCTTGATTATGAATATATATTTTGATCTTCATGAATAAGACATAGAAATAGCAATATATACTCCTGAAAAAAAGTAAAGGTGAAAATGTTCATATTTATCTAGTAAATTATCAGTCCTGTTGACTAGAAATAAATGTCTGAGTCCCCATTTATGATTTTAGTTGGAGTTTAAACTGAAGAGTTCTGATGAAGAGGAACGGTATGGCTCTGTCTCCTTGTTGGCTCGCATGTTTTCTGAGAAGGACTCGACACTGGCACTTAACCATAAGCAACTATGGACAGCTTTCTTGGGAAGGTACGAGTAAAATTTCCTTCAGTGAGAGTGTAGCAATTGCTACCCAAAATCAAATAGAATTGTGAAAGCATCAAACGCATTTATAATGAGATGCTGCTTTTGTAAAGATGTGTAGATGTAATTTTTATTTTGAAGCATCGTTTAGAATATAAGTTGCATAGGGTAACTTAGGCACGATATTGATATAAGTACATGTATATGTTCTTGTACTTTTATTGACATAAGTTGTTTCTTTTCCTTTTTTACAGATTTAATGATATTAGCATAAAAATAAGAACAAAATGTGTACAGTATTCTATGCACTTCTTACTGAATCATCCACTCCTACGCAAAGACATCACAGACACATTAAAGTTAAGACAACACGACTCAGAAGAGAGTGTAAGGTGAGTGGTTTTTGAAGGCTGTCGTATTGAAGTTGAGTTTGTTCTTGTTTCTAAGAGGAAAATATTCAAGTAAGGGAGTAATTTTATATGGCTGCTGCTATTTTTTGTTATTTGTTACTGTTATGGTTATTTATTATTATTATTATTATTATTGTTGTTTTGTTATCGTTATCGTTATTGTTAGCATTGTTATGTTTTTGTTATTTTTATTACTCTTATTATTTTAGTTGTCATTATTGATATTATTCTGTTGTTATTATTGTGTTTAATAGTTCTTTATTATTGTTATTGTTATTATTATTATTTTTGTTATTATTATTATTATTATTATTATTATTATTACTATTATTATTGTTATTATTATTATTGTTGTTGTTGTTGTTTTTAGTATTATTATTGTTATTAGTATTAGTGTTATTGTTATTGTTGTTACTGTTATTGTTATAATAATAATAATAATTGTAATATGATAATAATAATGATGATAATAGTATTGATAATAAAATGCCAGTAGCAATGGTAATGATCATAATAATAAGAAAATAAACTTTTTTCATGAAAATGGTTGAGGTCAGGTAGCCAAATAATTGATTCCTTGGTGATTGCAGTACTTGCAGAGCCATGTGTATGTGTAAAATAAAACCGTAGCGCACATTGTGTGTATACATATAATCAATGTCAGTGGGTTAAAATCAAGATATTTTCTAAATACTAAATGTTGACATGCTTCAATGTTTGACTTTAATGATCTTATACAGGATATAAATAGATGTACAAAATCATTTACATACTGGTATTCTTTTTCAGGTATGAGGTTGTAATGGCCATTGTTACAACTGCAAAGAAAGATTTTAGCATTGTCTCTGACAGTGAAGACCTTCTTAATTTTGTTAAAGAGAGAACACTAGATAAAAAGGTAATTATTATTGAAAAATATTCAATTGGAAAGTTCCTGTTTTAGAAACCTTTTTATACACAAGGAAAATGTGACCACATTTTTTATGGATATCTTGCTGTGATACATATATTTTATATTTATATTTTGTATTGTATATCCATTTATGTATTTTGTCCAGTTACATATCACTCATACACGTTATTGGTTGTGATTTATGAAATGATAATGTCTTCTGTTGCAAAGAGTAATGCTTCTTATTTTCTTTTTGAAACTAAATGTATTTTTTTATATCAGTTCAAGATTAGAAAAGAAGCAATGTGTGGATTGGCAATGATTTACAAGAAACACCTGAATAGTCCAGATGTCCCACCGGCAACACGTCATGCTGTAACGTGGATCAAAGACAAGATTCTTCATGGATATTATATGACAAGCATGGACGATAGGTAAGAAGGATGTTGAAAGGAATGAGAATTATTATGAATTTTGATGACGTGTAATATTATTTATATGAAAGCTAGAAATACTGCTTATACTAGAAGGATGATGATCGTCATTGTCATCATCAGTAGTTATTGCCTTCATTATTTATCCTCCTCCTCCTGCTCCTCCTCCTTCATGAGGAGCGTCAGTTCTCCCTTCTGAATTTGTTGTCATCTGTAACTATTCTTCTATTCCCTAAGCTAGAAATACTGCCTCGTCTCTCATCAGCTGCCTTCATTATTTATCCTCCTCTCTCCTCTCCCTCCTCTCCCTGCTCTGCTTCCTCCTCCTCTTCCTCCTCTGCTTCCTCCTCCTCCTCCTCCTCTCCTCCTCTCCTTCCTCCTCCTCCTCCCTCCTTCCTCTCCTTCCTCCTCCTCTCCTTCCTCCTCTCCCTCCTTCCTCCTCTCCTCCTCCTCCTCCTCTCCTTCCTCCTCCTCCTCCTCTCCTTCCTCCCTGCTCCTCCTCCTCCTTCCTCCTCTCCTCCTCTCCTTCCTCCTACTCCTCCTCTCCTCCTCTCCTTCCTCCTCCTCTCCCTCATCCTCATCCTCCTCCTGTTCTGCTTCCTCCTGCTCTTCTCCTGCTTCCTCCTCCTCTTCCTCCTCTGCTTCCTCTCTTCCTCTTCTGCTTCCTCCTCATCTTGCTCTTCCTCTTCCTATCCTTCCTCCTCCTCCTCCTCCTCCTCTTCCTCTCCTTCCTCCTCTTCCTCTCCTTCCTCCTCCTCCTCCTCTCCTTCCTCCTGCTCCTCCTCTTGCTTCTCCTCCTCCTCCTCTGCTTCCTCCTCCTCCTCCTCTGCTTCCTCCTCTCCTCTCCTCTCCTTCTCCTTCTCCTCTCCTTCCTCCTCCACTTCTCCTTCCTTCCCTCCTCCTCCTCTCTCTTCCTCTTGCTCCTCCTCTCCTCCTCCTCTCCTCCTCCTTCCCTCCCTCCTCTCCTTCCTCCTGCTCCTCCTTCCTTCCTCCTGCTCCTCCTCTCTCCTCCTCTGCTTCTCCTCCTCCTTCCTCCTCCTCCTCCTCCCTCCTCCTCTTCTCCTCCTCTCCTTCCTCCTGCTCCTCCTTTCCCTCCTCCTCCTTCCTCCTCCTCCTTCCTCCCTCCTCCTCCTCCTCCTCTCCTCTCTGCTCCTCCTCCTCTCCTCCTCCTCCTCCTCCTTCCTCCTCCCTCCTCCTCTGCTCCTTCCTTCCTCCTCTGCCTCCTCCTCCTCCTCCTCCTCCTCCCTCTTCCTTCCTCCTGCTCCTCCTCTCCTTCCTCCTCCTCCTCCTCTCCTTCCTCCTCTCCTCCTCCTCCTCTGCTCCTCCTCCTCCTCCTCTCCTCCTCCTCCTCTCCTGCTCCCTCCTCTCCTCCTCCTCCTCTCCTTCCTCCTCCTCTTCCTCCTCCTCCTCCTCCTCCTTCCTCTCCTCCTCCTGCTTCTCCTCCCTCCTCTCCTCCTCCTCCTGCTCCTCCTCCTCCTCCCTCCTCCTCTCCTCCTCCTCTCCCTCCTCCTGCTTCCTCCTCATCTCCTTCCTCCTCCTCCTCCCTCCCTCCTCTGCTCCTCCTCTCCCTCCTCCTTCCTCCTCCTCTCCTCCTCCTCTTCTCTCTCCTCCTCTTCCTCATCCTCCTCCTCTCCTTCCGCCTCTCTCCTCTCCTTCCGCCCCTCCTCCTCTTCCTTTTCTCCTTCTGCCTCCTCATCCTAATCCTCATTCTCATCCTCATCCTCATCCTCTCCTTCCTCCTCCTCCCTCTCGCACCTTTTACCTCAATTTGCCTTGTGTTTTTAACTCTCCTGCTATTGCTCTCTTTGTTTATTGGGATTTCAAACATACAAGTGTAGTGTTATGTAATCTCTTGGTTATTTTGTAGCCACAGGTCCAAACTTATCTCTAAGACTTTAATTTCTTTCAGATTACTAGTAGAACGTCTCCTGAACACTTGTTTGGTACCATATCAGCTGCCTCCAGAAGATCGAATGAAGAAACTTTTCTATCTTTATGCTACCATTGATGACAATGCTTCCAAGGCCTTTATAGAACTCCAGAAACATCAGTTAGCTGTAAGGAAGAATGTTGCAGAGCTTATCGAGCTACATCGGAAACCTCAGGATGAAGAGAGGGATCGTGAAATAGCATACCGCTTGGGACACCTCACCAAGTTCCTTCCTGATCCACTGAAGGTGCAAGAGTTTCTTAGAAAGTTCTCACAACACCTCAATAGTGATTCTCAGTTGTTATCACTGATGGAAACTGTTGTTAGTCACGATGTATCCTGCAAAGATAGTGTTGATGCTGTTGTAAGTTGACAAACTACTGCGTTTTTTCTTTGAATATATGGTTTAGATTTTTAAGATGATCATTGATACATCTGATTGTTTTACTTTTTTTTTTTTTTTTTTTTTATCTACTTACTTACTTTTCCTTGAAAAAATAACTGGATAAGAAACCTGTGCTCTATTTGACATACTTCAAAAGTCTTGTTTGGAAGTGCAGAGAAGACTATTTTATGTCTCTTCATTTCAGACCCAAATACTAAAGAAATTAGGACAGCCAGTAATGACCAATTTGTACTACAACACTATCAAGATGTTGCTAGAACGGGTTTCAAGTGTGATGGTAGACAGGGTAGCACTTGAGGCTTTAGTTAGCATGGTAGAAGGTGCACTGAATGGGGATCCAACAATTTTGGATACACTCAACCTTACTTCTGATATTGCAACAGAGAAGGGATTGAAGTTATTGTTTGTAAGTAATCTTTTGACTGTGTGTTTTTGTATGTGTATGAGATAGTAGCAGATAACCATATGCATGATTTTTATCAAACTTTTGTGGTGATATGTGTTTTTGGAGAAGGACAGATTTATTATCTGTTTGAAAAATCTTTCAGGTTTTGTCGTTTGTGTATCCTTCACACTTCCTGCATCAGGACATCTTGACACGTCTTATTTCTCTCCTCAATGTGCCAAACACAGCCATCTCCCCACCAGTTCTAGCAGTTCTAACATGTATTGGCAAATATAAACCAATAGGTAAGTGAGACTTGTACTATCCTTTTCACAACAAATCCATACTCGAATGAACATTGTGATTCCAACCGTCTTTATTGTTTTCACTGACTATCCCTGAATATAACTTGTAAAGTTGATAATTACTGAACTAATTCTCCTTCTAACAATATTTTTAGTAAAGAATGGAGAATATTTAAGTTGTGTTTATGTTTTCTTGGGCCTTTGACATTTACATTTGACAATAATTGATCACTGTTGTGTGTTAGATGAAAAAGCCCTTATATATATGTATATGTATATTTTTTCTTTGTTTTTCTTTTTCCTTTCATTTTTATTTCTTATTTCTTTCTTTCTATTTTTCTTTATTTATTTCTTTGAGAGTGTGAATATAGCTAAGAGGCTTATTTTATGTAAAGATTACTTTCAGTGCTTTTGGTTTATTGATAATGTGTATGGTATTTATACTGATGGTCTAACTACATTTGTTTCCTATTATTAATTTAGTGGTTTGTGATTGCATTATGTTGAAAATGTAACTAAAACGACAACTTACTCTTTCAGGTGAGCTGTACCCAGAGCTAGCATCAGTACTTATTCCAGTATGTCAACAGTTTGCCTGCTCAGGCACTCCAAAACAAGCCAAGCATGCTGTACGTTGCCTTCACACAAATTGCACCTCAGATGCAGATGAAGTGTTTGAGAAGATATTAGAGGTAAGTGAGCAAAACTTCCGTGAGAAACTTTTGTGGCAAGTTACTTGATTTTTTGAAGGTTGTTCTTGAGAAGAGTTTGGATGATTGACAAAACGTTTTCTTTCCCCCCCAGAAAATAAAGGAGCAGTTAACGTTTGATTCTCCACACTTCAGAACTTCAGTCGTGTCTTTAGGTCACATAGCATTCAACATGCCAGATAGATTCCTAATCCCTATTAAAAATATAGTATCAAGAAAGGTAAGTTTCCTTTTGTTGTCAACTTGTATTTTGGTTTATTGTGATTTCAGAATATATGGAAAAGCATTCTCACTTCTCCTTTTTCGTTCTTCCTCTTCTCTCCCCTTATTCTTTCCTTTCTCTTTTTTCCATTCTTTTCTCTCCTCTTTTTCCCTGTCATTTCTCTCCTCCCTTTTCCTTCCTTTCTTTCTTTTATCCTTTCCTTTCTCTTCTCCCTCTCATGTTTTTCCCCTTTTCTTTCCCCTTTCTCTTCTCTCCTTTCTTCTCTCCTCTCCTATCACCTCTCCCCTCCCCTCCCCTCCCTTCTCCCCTTCTCCTTCTCCCTCTCCCCTCCTCTCCTCTCCTCTCTCCCCTCACTCCTCTCATCTCTCCCCTCACTCCTCTCCTCTCCTCTCCTAACCATCTCTCTCCTTGCCCCCATGTTATTTCTAGTTAGTTATTATTTGGCTTTCATTGCTTTCAGATTGTAAAAGAGTTATTAATGCGCAACCAAACCCCTGCACATACTCCTGGCCCAGTCACCTCAGAGGAACCAGAAGAATGGGTAGAGGAAGAGGAACTCACAGAGGAATCATCAGTCAAAATGGAGGGCATTAAGATGATGGCTCGGTGGTTGCTAGGCCTCAAATCTGATGTTATCTCTGCCCAAAAAACCTTCCGTATGCTAAATGCCTTTATTCTCCACAAGGGTGACCTTCTTGAGACTGGAAAGATGTTGTAAGTTTTGTGATTTTCAGCATTGCTTGAGAGTGAGTCAGTGAGAGATTGAGAGTGTGCGTGCATGCGCATTTTCTTTCTGTTATCTAGGTTGAGATATAGATGCTGTGAATACAGACATTACTCAATTTTATTTTAGTATTAGATTATTTATGTAAACAGTCTATGGGAGTTATCAGTGAGTATATTGCAGAAGAACTTTCACATGTGTGATGCAGTATATGAGAAATAGTTAAAAAATGATCAGGTTTGTTTGTGATTTTTGGAAAGTTAGTTAAGATAACACAGACAATGCCAACCAGTTCTGATTTCCTAATAAAAGTCAGTGTAACTAACTAGTTTTAAATATTTTACTTGACATATTTTGTTATTGTAACTCTTATTTGCCTTAAGTAACAAAATATTCATTGAGATAAGTGATAACAGTTTCAGAATCATCCTTGATTATATCTTCAGGTCTGAAGATGGAATCAAGGACAATTCCGAAAGTGTTGTCTCACCAATTTCAATAAATCTAGTTTGTGCATTGCGGGTTTTTCTACCATAGTATCAACATGGTAGAGTGTTTTTTCTTTCAACAAAAGATTCTTTTAAAGTTCTATATTAAAACCATTGTTATGAACATTGCGTAACCTGATGGAAGAGTTTTTCCCCTTTTATAAATTAGTCCTCCGATTGTATGAAGACATACATTTTCCTTTGCCTTGGTATAAGCACCATTGTGTTTAAAGTATAGTTGTATGTTAAATGTGAGATGAATTATGGAGATTACAAATAACCTTTACCAATGTCTTTATTATATCTTTTTGTGTCTTCCAGAAAATCTGAAATGGCCCATTTAAGACTGTCGTCTGGTGCTGCGATGCTTAAAATCTGTGAACAGAAAGGAGTTGGTGATCAGTTTACCTCGGAGCAGTTTTACAATCTCTCTCTCCTTATGAATGTAAGCAAGAAGTATTCTAAACTGGGGAGAATATGGTTAATGACAATTTAGGGTGGTGTTCAAATGATAGTACTTATGAACACATTTCTGTAGCTAAAAGGGACAATTAACCTACTGGCAAGACATATACAGTTGGCTGGATTTGTACCTGTTCAACACCTGTTTTCGTTGGACAGTAGAAGCAACAACTTCCATTTACTTTCTCAGACTATAGCTTGAGTGTATTGAAGCATAAGGTTCCTGTGACATAAGAGTTTGGATCAAATTATTAAAACATTACTGGAAAATGTATGTGTGGAATATTATTCATCAAATACACAATATGTGGAGGAGTATAAGCCATCACTTTTTCTGAACTAGAACTGTGCTTTTTCTTGAAATGAAGAACTTGTCACTTGTGTGATAATACTGATATTAGAAATTTGCTTTTAGGATGAGTGTCCACAAGTCAGAGAACGGTTTGCCATCAAGCTTCACAAAGGTTTAGCAAGAGGAATTCCACATAAGTGCCTGCCTCTTGACTTTATGGGATTTTATGCCCTTGCTGGTCTTGAGTCTGACAGACAGTTGCGTGGTGCTGTAAGACAGTACATGATTGCTGATATTAATAAGAGGAGAGAATATATCAGATCTATCACCATGTCTGGGGGAAGTAAGTATTTCAGTCATTATTTCTTCCTTGTGTATATATATATATATTTTTTCTCCCACCCCAATTAGAATTATTCAGGACTCATAAGATAGTTGACAAAATATTGTTTTAAAAGTGAAATTACTGGTATTAAAAATTATGGTGTATTTTATTCTCTGATTTGTTTATTTACAGGTGAAAAGGCATCAAGTCAGCTACCACACATTATGCCTGATTACATGCTAGTATTTGCAGTACCTTTGTTGGCACATCACCCAGAATTTACAGATCCTAGTGATGTGTCACAGCTGACACGGATTCGGTCCTGTCTGTGGTTTATCTTGGAACCTCTAATGACCAAGAATGATGCCTACTGCTTTGGATTCTACAAGGCATTGATTGAGCAGATGAAGAACCACAAAGATGCTGTTAAACCAGAAGATGAGCTAACTAATCAGGTATGATAGTGATTCAGAGGGGTATGCATTTTGTTTGGAATCGTGTGATAGCCATATATGTAGGAAATTCTTGGAATGAGACATTTGAAGTTATAGTTGATATAAGTATGAATATTGAGAAATCATGGTTGAAATCAGAGGTTGAAAACTTTCAAAATGATCTAAATGTTCTTTCTTTCTTTTTGTTTCAGAAACTATGGGCTGTATGTGATTTAGCAATGGGTCTTATTTTATCTAAAACTACTAGCTTTGAAATGAAGGAATTCCCATCAGATCCCCGAATACCTCCAATGTATTTCAAAAAGCACGAGGATCCAAACTTTGTAAATGGTGAGTAACAAGACATTTTGTTAGTGTCAGGTATTTCATGAAGTGTGAGAATTTTATTAACTAGTGTAGGTTTAATAAATTTGGTCTGTGGAGTGGAGTTATGACTACATAGATTTGTTCCAGTGAATTTGTGAACTTTAGGATTTATATGGTATTGTCCTATTTTTGCAGTCTGTTGTCTAATTGAAAAAAATCATACATAAGTGAATGATTTGTAATTTGTGTAAACCTTTCTTTTTTTTAGTCAAATCGTACCTTCCGCTGGAGCTCCAGGTGACAGCACCCAAAGGATCCACTAAAGTACTGACTGGAGTGACCAAAAAGGTGTCCAATTCAATGGTCGTTTTGAAACCAAACACTCAAATGCACAGTCCACAAGACAGAAGCAAGGTAAGTTTGGACATACAATGCTCTTTAGTGTATCAATTTTAGATGTTCTTCTCAATCTATGAATATTCCTGCTATTACCTTAGTTAGATTTGTTCTTAAAATAAAATATGGTTTAGATGGTTATGGGCAGTGGTTTTCAAACTTTTTAAACCCCCACTACTGGTATAGCTGTAGACATATATCTGCTTTTAGATTTTGTCATTGGTTTTGAAAGTTTAGGTTGAGAAAGACTAACAGAGATTGTCTATTGAGTAAGATGGTGATGTGTGGTATGTTTTCTTGTTTTATCTTTCATGCTACATAGGACACAACAACATCCAGCAGCATAGACCTGCCTGTCCATAAGGAGGTCAAGGTAAAAAAGCCTGTAGCATATAAGAGGGCCATTGGGTGTGTGGAGTGGATTTCAAAATTAAAAGTAAATAAGAAAAACAAACCTGTGTAGTGAAAGCATTTAGCAAAAATATAATGAAGTTTAATTTCAGATTTCATATGATTTAGAGTAACCTAGAGTTATTACAATCTCACCACCCTACTTGCATTGGTTTGTTATGTCAGCTGTTGTAGTACCTGTTTAGAAGAAAAAAACAACAGAAACATAGAAAAAAAATGCAGTAAAGTAATGTAAAAGGATTGAATACTAGCAATTCATAGTGATTCTTAGCAACACTTAATGAAAATAGTAGCATTGAACCTTCAAGTAGCAAAGAGCTGCTAACCAGCTCTTCTGGAGAAGGAAAAGGTTTGCTTTGTATGTATTTCTATGTACTTCACACACAACATTTCTAAGTACTGTAAGCACAACATTATGCACTCAATAGCTTGTACTTGTATTTCATAAAAAAAAGTGAAGCTTTCCCTTACTTTAAGTACCTGTGTCTAATAGTAATGCCAAACAAATAATGTCACTACTATTGGAGAAAGACGAGCTCCGTTTGCTGAGCTGACAGCATGGAGTATGTCATCCATGACATAATATTATGCATCCATGACTGAAGGGTTTAAACAATCCATGAAAGATAGAGGGAAGAAAGAAAAGACAGTAGGAAGAAAGAGAAATGAAAGAGTGAAACAGGGAGGAAATAAGGAATTGGATGAGAAGGTAGAAATATTAGAGATTCAAGATAAGTCATGGGAAAAGAGGAAGAAAGCTTATAGTGTGATTTGCTAATTGACGGGAAATGGAAGAGAAAAAAAGTGATTGGTAGTGAAAAAATTTAATATTTTGTACTGATTTAAGATTTTATTAACTGATTTAATATTTTTCTTGTCTAGGATGACAGTAGTATGATGGAGGATTCAAATAATGTAACAAATAACCGAAAACGAGGACGCAGTGGTTATGACATTGAAGATGATTTAGAGGATGAGGAGGACAGCACAACCCTTAGCAGTGTGTTGCCGACACCAAGTGCCCCATCTGCATCATCAACGGGACCTGCTAGCAAGAAAGGAAGACTTGGGGGAAATCTCACTGCTCCAGCCAATAGGATTAGTAGGTGAGAATCCTTGCATATATTTTTTAACAGATATTTTGGTTGGTGATGGATGATACAATCTGCAAAATTTAAAGAAATTAATTTCCCAACTCAAAATTTATTTAAGCATTATATTTTACTGTAAACTGTGGTATGTGAAAAGTATGTAAATGAAACTTTTTTCTTTTCTTTTACAGTTATCTTCAGAAAGAAACTAATGGGAAGACGTGAGTAACCTATCCTACAGCAAGCTTACAAAGATATTGTTACCAGGGTGCAGAATGGTTGTAGTTTTGCATAGCGTACTATGGTAGGAGTGTGACAAAATCCTATATAAACTATTTGTCCCCTGTTCAGGGGTAAGGCAGAAATAGTTTCCATACCAAAGTTTTAAGTATATACTTGGTGACAATTCAGGTGAGCAGTGTATGTTGATCTCTAGACCAGCAGAGGGGTTGGTTCACTTGGTCACAGGTATTGTACATAAGTGTTGCAGAAAGCTGCAAGACTAAAGATGAGGCTGTATATGTGAATTTTGAGTGATTGGTGGGTTTTATGGTGAGAAAAGGACCATGGATCATTGCAATATCTATGATTGGGTAGGGGAGAGGAGTATAACATTGTATTCATATTTGAAATATGGTCATGGGTATTATCTTCCACTGACATCATTTTCTGCACCTCATTTACACTGTGAAGTTCTGAATAATTCAAATATGCTTGGTATTAAACAACTTCAAAGTGATATTGGGTATTGATGCTAATTTTGAGTTTATTCAAGGTAATGAATCATTATGGTCACTGCTATTGTAGTAATGATGATGAAAGTAATTATTATTATAAGTTTTATTTTTTTATTATTATTATTTTATTTATTATTATATTTTTTTTATTATTATCATTATTATTATTGTTATTTTTTTATTATTTTGTTTTTTCTATTACTATTGCTAATACTGTTATTATTTGTTATTAGTATTATTATTAATATTATTATTATTGTTATTATCATTATTATTGTTGTAATTTTTATTGATATTATTATCATTATTATTGTTATAATTGTTATTATTGTTATTACTTTTATTAGTATATTATCTTAAAATAAATTTTTGAATTAAGCTGAATTTCCTGATTGATTTTTATTATCAGTTGATATTATCATAATAGATTATTATTATATATTATAATCATTATTATTATTATTATTATTGGTTGTTTTGATTTTCTGTTAGTTGTAGTACTAATAGTATTTGTATCATTATTATTAATTTTATTCATCATCAGTAGAAGCAGTAGCAGTATTCTTAGTAACTATTAGGACAATAATTATCCTTATTGTAGAATTATTATTACTTGAATCATCATCGTCATCAACTTTTGTCATGATCTCTGTTATTACAAGCCATGTTATTTTTGCTATTATTTTTATGACTGTAGTGACTTGTTTTTGTATATATTAAATTTTTTGTTTATTTGTTTATTATTTTTTATGACTTTTAAGGCAGTGCTATTGGTGGAAATTTAGACTTTTCATATATTAGTGTTAACTCTTCCATAAAGAGCCACATCTGGAATCACCTGTGTTAGGCAGTAATTTCCTCCCTGATGCATTGTGATAATTTTGTTTCAAATGCTGTTAAGAAACTTACTATTGATGGGGGAAATGGTGAATTTGGACTTGTGTTAAAGATAAATTAAAGATATTATGGAGATGGAATAAACAGGACTGTGAGTTCTACTGAGTTGTTAAGGTACTTCTGTATATGACTTCAATATTTTGAAAGTTTCAGATGTATTGAAAGGGTGAATATCGATAAATGAATACTATATTGTAAAATAGAAAATAAAAAATACAGCCACCATTAATATTACAAATATAAGTTGCAAGAAAAGCAAAGTTTATTTTATATTTTTCGAATTATGTATATTTTTTTCTCTTAATTGAATTGACTACCATCATCATCATCATCATTATTATTACGGTATTTATATCCACATCACTTTCACGTCTGTCATCATTGTTGCCTTTTCTGTCATCAGCATCATTCCACAGTTTATTGATAGTATTTTTATTGATTAGCTGCTATTCTATCATTATCAATCTCCACGTATGGTAAGGTGATGTTTTTGATAATGACAGAGTAGATGATGAGTTTTAGAGATACAGAAAAATTGTGCTGAAGTAGAAAGTAATCTTGTATGTGTTACAAATTTGTGTTATATGTATAATATTAGTTTCATTTGAGAATAATTTCTATATATACATAAAGATGATGTTTAGAATTGCTTGTTCATTTTGGACAATCATTCTAGGCAAGTTGAACACTGCTGAAATTATACTTACTGCATTATTTTTCTTCTCCTGACTGCAATTTGTACACTTCTTAGGCTAGTGATAACTAGAAGGAATAATGATGGGAAGTGATTTGTTCCTTTTTTTTGAAACACGAAAAAGGCTTCCTGAATTTATATATATTATTAGTAACATGGACTGAGGTTATGTGTAATTAATGATAAGACCTAGGAAAGAATAGCACATTATGTCAGTACTTCTACCTTATATTACCCATCATATGATAATTAGATTGCAATGTGAACCTGTCCTTTGAGGGCAAAGATATTGTATTGGATTGATATGATGTATTTAATAATAGAAAAAAACAAGAGACATCAGAAACAAAGCAGGATATGTTTCTTTTTTTCCACACAGTTACCTAATGCATTCACAGGCTGCAACAGAATTAGGTTTTATGCATATTTGATTGTGATGTATCCAGCTAATCTCTGCCATGCTGTGTTTGTGGTTGTGAGTGTTGGTCATTTGTTTCTTTGTACGTTGAGTTTTGGTATGAGTATTTTTTTCTTAATTGTTTTGTACTTTTTTCTATTTATTTTTAATATACATATTGCATTTTTAAAAGAATATGTTCTTGGATTGAATATAATTTGAATTATTTTTTTATGAATTGAAACATGTCCAGATGAGATGCATCATAATTTTAAGATACATTATTATTAAGAATTTCTTGATTTTATGTTAGAAAGATATGATGCTTAGATCAGCTACAAAGCACTGGCTTTTTGACTGTAATAAAAAAAGAAAAAAAAGGGGTGTAGTGTAAGTGAGGGATATGTTTTGAGGAATTAGCATGTGTGTTGTTGCAATACATAAATGCAAGGTGGTGCAATATAAAGGCAATCATGTTTCATGTTCATTGTGTTCAAACTGGAAATGAATTCAGACACCTTTATTCTATCATTACTGCTCACCAGGTTGTTTTCACCTATTTATTTTTTTTGTATTATTAATCACTGTGCATAAATTTGTATAGATTCATGAATACCCTTTTGATGACTTCCTCTCGCTAAGTTTTCTTGAACAATAGTGTATCAGTGGTGAAAAAAAATTGGTGTGGCATCAGTGATGGATATAGAAATAATTACATCCCAGGAAAACATAAGCAAAAATATTAAACAGTCATGAATTATAATTTCTTTCTCTTTTTCTCTTTTGCTGATTCTCTTTTATTCAGTTTCTTCATTTTCTCTTTTCCTGTGTATCATCTGAGAACAGCCTCACCACAGTATGCATGCTGTGTGAATGGTTGCATATAAGTTTGATTTTCAGTGTGAAATTTGCACTCACTGATGATGAATTGCATTGTTTTTCTATAATTGGGGCAAAAGTATAGTCATGAAATTCATGCTAAGGCCTCATCATATTGAAAGATATTCTTTAAATGTTTTTCACTTTTATTTTTTAATTATATTTGGTTTGACTTAGAATAGATTGTTTACCATGGTAGGTGGCCTTATCCTTTTTGATGGTATAACCAGTGATGTGTTAGCTCAAAAACTATGAGCCAGTACTATGTACGTAATGCACCTTATAAAAGATTATTTTAGGTTGGTAATTCAAATGAAAAAAGATGGCTAAACTCCAATTTTGAAGCTGGAAATCTGGTAAGGGCCTGAATATTACAGAGAGGAAATGGTCAGTTAGAGAATGTTCACTAGTATACATTTGTGTACAGTATTCCCAAGATGCTCACTATTTTATGTATATTAGAATTTAGGTGTATTACCCTTATGGTTTCTGACATTTTTGCACTTGGTAGCAAATGGAACTCTTTAAGTTACAGTTACAGCATGAAGTAAGTGATATTTATGCATTGATATGTTGATATTCTGTGACAAGATGACATTCGTATGCCTTTTATTTTCTTCCCTCAGACAGTCATGTTCATGTATGTCTGTGTTTATGTAAATATATTGGAATAATTCAGTTATGTGTATGAATGATATTTTGTTGGAATGTTCATTCCGTAAACAAGAATGTATATTCATTTTGTTAAAAGATCAAATTGACTGGTAGAAGGTCAATCATCTATGATGGATAAAGATAATTTTGCTATTGTGATGTTTTGGTTTTCCCTTTCACACTGTGTTTTGTTTTGCTAGTTTCTTGTAATTTCTAGCTTCCTCGTATTGTTTCTGTGGCGTATATCATTTGTTTCAATACAGAGTTCTATGATACGAAAGAAAGTGATGTGTGTTTGTCGTTATCCCTTCTAAATGCTTATGTTTGCTATCCTTTTTATTATATTTGTACCATTTGTTGATATCAATGTACTTCGTATTTCTCATAGGTTTTTGTGTGTTCTTGTGATTAATTACTGGAGAAACTTGCAGAACGCATTTCAGCAAATATTCCTTTTAATCTTTTTCCCAATTAACCTGAAATGTAGGTCCTTTTTTAAATTTAAAATTGCTATGTTTTGATCCTTCAGTTTTATCCTTCAGTGTCACTGCTTATTTTGGCATTATCTTGTGCCTTCTGATGATTTACTAAGTACTAGCTAGCAAGTGTACTTATAAAACTTGGTAGTTGGTTTCATGAATATAAGTTGTTTGGATTTTATGATTTTAATGAGAATCACAGTAGAAATTTAATACCTTAACATGAAGAAATAATCACAATGACACTAAATCCTGGTGTTTAGTGTTTTGTAACAGCAGTGTTTTGCATTTAATCATAAAATTTGAATAACCAAACCATATGAAGGTGGCATTGCTGTGCCAAAAGCTGATTGACACAAGACATTTATTGAGAAAATCAGACTTTGAGTTTACACTTGACTGATACAAGATAATTATTACAAAAAAAGGTCATTTTGATGACAAAAACTTTCAGGAAGTGAATCCATAGATTATGTCAGTATCTGAGGTGTTTTGATAATTGTGTTTACTGAATGATAAGTACTAGGCTGATATTGCAAGATAGGCTTTCCAAAAGGCAAGTGCTGAAAAAAAAAAGAGTTTTGTCCATTATCATATTGTTATATGCATATATGTGTATATGTATATATATCCCTCCGAAGACGGGGCCAAAATTTTTTGTGAAGTAATATTACACAACACTCTAGACTTTGTGGTTAGGCCTAAGCAGTGAACAGCAAGCCCGCAATGTGAGTCATGACGCATATATGCATCATGACTCACAAAGACCATTATGTCATGATGGCTACAGCAGTACCCATCTCTAAAGAGTTTAGTGTGTGTATATATATAGATATGTATATTATATATATTATATATATATATATATATTTATTATATATTATATATATATATATGTATAAAATATATATATATATATATATATATATATATATATATAATATATATATATATATATATATATATATATACATATATATATATATATATGTATATATATCATATATATATATATTAATATATATATATATATTTATTTATTTATTTATTTATTATATAATATATATATATATATGTATATATATTATTATATATTATATT